AACACTAGACTGTGGCCAACGGGTGGACGAAAATGATGACGCATCTTCAGTAAGTACCCTAGAACGCCTTAGGGGTTAAATTGCACATTTAGAAGGTAGCTCGGGCGTGTATTTGACCTACGCCGTTCTTTGATTGGTGATAATAACAGACTGACCTTTACGGCACCGCAAAGTGGTGCTGGAATCTGATGGTTATACTGAAAGAATAAAGGTAAATGGCCACTCTCGTGTTGCTTTCATTGCTGATCCATCCAGAGGACAACTTTGTAATGGTAAAAATGATACACCCATTCCAATCTTTGAACTGTACACTAATTTTCAAAGACATTCACAAATATTTTTACGACGGTCGTTCTCGAGGGCTTGGCACCCGCTGCCTGTGGCCACTTGCAATGGCCAACGCCGTTCGGTTTTACGGAAGCTGCAACCCAGGCCATGGTTGTCCTTGCTCCCGAGATTATGGGCGCGTAGGCTGAAACCTTGTAATGTAATTCGTTTCACACCAGTTGATTCTGCAACAGAATTAGCGATCTCAGGCAAACATCGAATGGCTTTGTTCGGTTCTGAACTCATTTCGATCCACTGTATTCAACATCAATGAGACCCCTTGCTTCTTTCCGGGAAAGGGGCCCCGGTGAGAAGAAGGGCACATAATTGTTCCCGGTCGAGGGCTGAAGAGTCATTCCACTCCACCGCGCGTTGTCTTCCGGCTGTCATTCTGACGACACGGGGTGTGATCCCCTGCCGATCAGAAGATCTATAGAGGGATACATCATATCACATTGGTCCCCTCCTTGATGCAGGAAGCCATCTGACCGACACAGCTGACCCCAGATCGGCGGAGGAACCCTCATGGGCGCAACAACATACTTGATCGCCGCAGGGGGTCAAATAACTGACACATAACACCACAGTTTGGCCTAACGGGCCGTTGCTGGAGTTGGACCGGAGGGCTTACGGTTCGGTACTGGAGGCTCTGACTGGCATAAGACCCTTCCATTGTCTTAACGTGAACACCCGTCATAAGTTCTCATGTTTTCTTTTACTGTCAGTGGGCCCCAACCAACGCAGAAGGCCTCTGTCATTCGGGGTCCCGCCCCGTCCCTGTTAGGCAAATCGTGCCTTGATCGGCTCCAGGCCCCCTGTTGACACATGATGGTAGGTAGGCACTGTGGCCGCCTGAAACGACACAGGAGCCCCGCATAGTTGCAGGGGCCCGAAAAACATAAATATGTGGACCTACCCTTGTCCCTTTTGGGAGATGGGTCTGTCTCAGGGGTCTAACTGACTGACATTTGAGATTCTAACACTAACTGACATTTGAGATCACGGCCTTGCGGACGAGGGTCCTTGATGTGACCTACTGTCAGTCCTCCGGGCCCTTCAGCCTTTCAAACGGGTCGTTGATCTTTGGTCTCGAGAGACCCCTTGGCCCCTCTTCGGGTCCCTCAAACACCGTTCTTGGTAGGCTCGGGGTCTCTTGCCACCACAGAACCAACGTTAGGCGCTGTGGCCCCCGGCTGATTGCAACTCGCAAGCCCCGTCTTGTTCCTACTTGGAAAATAGGTCTCAAGGGCTCAGACGGACACGGAGCCGACTCCTTGTTTCCTTGCCGGGGCCCTATATAGCAGGGATAGATGACCCTAATGAGAGAGCCCTTAGAAAAGCCCTCTGACTGACATTTCAGGGCACATCGCTATGGGTAGAGGGCCGGTCCCGAATCCAATCTGGTCCTTGATTATTGGTCCTGAGGGCCTTTTGGTCCCACTTCGGACCTGCTCAAACAAAGCCCGTGACAAACTAGGGGCCACTAGCCAGCATATGACTCCTTGTAGGGCACTGTGCGCCCAATACCGACACAGAGGCCCTAACATTGTTTAAGGGACGCAAACCGATGCAATTCGTGGCCCCCAGTCTTGCCCTTGCTTGGGAGATGATCCTCGGGGTTGTGCCTGACAGAGAGCCAATGATCCTCGGGGTTGTGACTGACAGAGAGCCAATGATCCTCGGGGTTGTGACTGACAGAGAGCCAATGATCCCTCGGGGTTGTGACTGACAGAGAGCCAACAGTTCGATGTTCGTGGTCTCTGACAGACTTTGACATCTGCGTTGTCTCAGCGGATCCTCACCTTTATGTGAACTACAGCCAGTCCTTCCGGCTCTCAGGCGCTCAAACCGGGCCTATGGTCGTTTGTTCCGATGGGCCGTCCGCAAACCCTCTTTGGGCACCATAAAGCACTGCCCTGGGTCGGCTCGGAGCCCATTGTAAGCACAGGACTCTCTGTTAGGCGCTGTGGGCTCCTGACGCATACGTGGGCCCCATCCTGTGTAACTAATTGGAGCCAGCTATTCAGCTGAGTGGGAAGTGAACCCTCAGGCCCACACCGGCACGGAGCCGACTGTGCGGTACTGGTGATGCCTGACCGACGTATAGACCCAGGTCGACTCAGGGGGTCCTCGATCGGTGCGAGGAGCCCTCTGACTGTCATTTGAGGGCCCGTCCTCGCTGGCCACGGTCCCTGAATAGGACTCCGGCCAGCCCTTCCTGCCCTTAGATTCTCCAATGGGGTACTTGATCGTCGGACTCGGTGGGCCCTCCAGGCTCTTCGAGCTTCTTCAAACACTGCCTTTTGTCGACTCGAGCCCCTTACCAACACAGGGCCCCCCGCTAGGCGCTGTCGGGCCCTGACCGACGCTGGAGTCCCGACCAATGTGAATTGCTGACTCCGGCTTTGTCCCTGTGTGGGAAATGGGCTCTCAGGCCCACGCTGCTCCGAAGCCAACTGTGCGTTAGTGGTGGTGTCTGACCGACATATAGGCCCTTATCGACTCAGGAGCCTTGATCAGCGCACAGGGTGATCAGTTCGATACCCCTCGGCCGTCATTGGAGTGTGGCCGTCATCGGGGGCCCGGCCCTGGCGACCGAGCCCCCGAAAAAGACCTCCGGCCGGCCTTTCGGGCTCTTCGGGCCCCCAAATTGGGCATGTAATGCGCTCCTTAAAGGGCACGTTTCACTTTTGAAGATACTGAAGCAGGGCATCAGATAGGATGAAACCAGCTCACTTATAACTATTGGTTTACCTTTAAGTGGAAAAGATTTCCCCGTACAACACAGCTTTCCGGTTCAGTTAATATGCCCCTCGATATGTCATTGTTTAATTTTGCCATCAAACCTTGCACAACATTGATGGCAAGCCATTTGACAACCGTTATGTCTGGAAATCGTGTCGTGCTCACGACCGTCAGATACAGTTTGTTTGGCCTTGATCGCCGCATGGCTATGAAGTGCCAGGATTTGAATGACGGTATCATGACATCATAAATGATGAGGTGACTATGGCATACTCTCCAACGATTACTGTCACACATATTTGCAGTCTCAGGAAACGGAGGGATTAGGTCTTAAATGGGGGCATGGCCGTGAGCTGCATCGGAAGATCTCCAATGAGGCCATTTCAGTTTAAAACACAATATGAATGTGGAACACTCTTTGCATTAATCGTGCCCCACCCCCACCTAAGGGGGGGGGGGGGCACGTGGACCCCCGCCCCCCCCCCCCCATGTCTGCGCTACTCCTGTCAGTAACGCTAGGCTTGTGTTAAGGGAGGATACCGCGTGATCCAGCGGGCAGTTTTACGTGGCCTTCAATCCTACTCTATTTGTAACTATACTAATACTATAACTATAACTACTTTAACTATAACCACTATACCTGTAACTACAGCATAGGGCAAGATAGTCTAGTAGTATTTGAAACCTAACATGCACCGAATACGTCTGAAATGTTTTTTGGTATAAACTGTGTATCCTATACAACAAGATTTCCTGTTTGTGTAAGTTTTCAATCAAACATATCCAGGAAATTGCATTTGAGCTTTATTTCGATGAAAATGATCATAAGGTATAGATTTACTCGAAATTAGATGGCATATTCAGAACATCTGTGGACCAGCATAACATTTATATTTTGTAGTATATACCAACTATGTCGGCTCTACTCAACCTTTCGGATTGGACAACCGTGAGCAAGGCCGTGCTTTGCCTGATTTATCTGGCAAATGTTCCCAACCGGGAAACTGAAGTTTCATTTCACTGGGGTATATTGGCACTGGGTGTGTGTGGACAGGGGGATATGGACTCGTTGGGCCTCGGGATGGGCAAGGACTGTAGGTGCCTGACCGCCCCTTTTATATGGGGTTCGATCTGGTCCCATCCCTTGGGAATCCGGAATCGCCCGTCAACCGAGAGGATGCTGGTATGCCCCACAGTAAGAACAGCGAATTTGCCGAACATATTTTGTGGTCCTAAATAGCTCCTGGAAGTACCAGCCCTGTTAGTTGTTGCACCGTATGGTGATGGGGGCACCGTATGGGGGCGGTAAGGGTGGAGGCTATCCCCGAGCCAAGAAGCTTACGCTAGATACTAGATGGTACAAACCCAGGATGTCAGCAAAAGTGTGAATTTTGCCTCTTCCTAAGTCCAAATTTGGCTTTGTCTTCACCCAGATTATTATTGTCTCTGATCTGCCTTGGGCAGCTATCTTTCATGCCTTGGTCATGAAAAAGCATAACAAGGTTAGGTGATTTATGGTATGTGATGTCTGGGTGTTGTTTATTTATTTGTGTCTCCTAGGAGGCATGATGCATATTTTCAGAGATAACTTCTAGCTGTTCAGCAACAACACATTCCAATTCAGCCAGCTGTAGGAGAATTCAGCACCTTTAGTAATTGCCATTGACACTGTGCAGTCAAGATGTCTGAGGAGACATAACTTATCTTATACCTTTGCTTGAGATGTTTGGTTGCCTCTGAATGTTTGAATGTATTTGAACATTCTGAAACATATCCAAATGTTTTTTTGATGCCATGTTTACATTCACAGTGAGCCATGGAAGATTCAACCACAACAGCAGCTTGTTTGATCTGCAAGCATGCACTTGTGGAGCGGCTGAACATATTCAAGACTCGGACAAACTTTTCCAAAACCCTGGTTTCATCCAAGCTTTCCAAATTAGTACAAGTTCCATTTAAACAGGTATGCTGCTTTTCAGTATAGGGCAGTTACAAATTATTGGGCCTTTCAAGCCAAAGTGTAGTGTTGTAAAACATGCTGTTTGGGGTTGGGGCTGCAAACAAGTATAATTTCCCTACCTTGTGTGTCTTCAAAGTGCATGTTAAATATGTTACTCCCCAGATTTGGGCTATTTTTATCAAAGCTGGGCATGCTGCAGCCCCCCTCCAACTTGCTTAGGAAACTACAAAGCTGCCTTTGAATGTTGTTTTGTGATTTAGTAGCATTATGCACAGCAAATCATATGTGTTTCCCTTATATGCATTAACAGTTACACCTCATTCTTTAAATCCACAATTTGTGGTGTGTTGCACTTGGCTACCCTCTATAAGTTTGTGATCTTGACTCTGAACTTGTCAGTCTAGGGTTTTGAACCTGGCCATGCAGCCACCACATACCACATGGTACCTAATGTAGGTATCCATCTCGGAGTGGTCCTAGCGGTTGGTGAGAAGGGAAAGCAAATGTTGTCCCTGTGGTCTCGGGGAAAGATGCTGGACTCCTTATCCATCGGTGCTGGACGCGAGTGTAGAGGGGCCCATTGTTTGGCTGAGCTGAAATGGAAACCTCTCCCAGCAACCGGCCAGCGAGGGTCAACCCGGGTCGGGGGTGGCCGTACCCTAGCATTGTGCGGCATGTCAAACCCTCTGCATTCCTGTCTGGCGAAAGGGTGGAGGCAACATTATCCCTTGAACTGGACATCACAACTTGGGTGGCGGTTTTGGGGTGCATGCACCAAGTGATGCTTAGCAGGTACTCTGTACTGAAAACCACCCATGCAAACCATTGGGAAGATCTATACTAAGAATGGCTCAAGTCATGTAATGTTATTATTTACCTGTGTGGAGTGCTCACGTGCTGTCAAGCACTCTTTATACATTTCCCTCCTTTTGCATGTTCCCTATGATCCTCATTGGAAGCACTTTAATGTCAACTGGCAATTTTTGTAGTCTTGCCACAAGGATCTCATGTGGTGGCATCTCTGTATGTATCAGCCTGCTGTTGTGACTATCACCCGTCCTTAGGACTCGCTGGAGAACTCTCAGGAAATCTGCAATAGCTGCTCCTCCCTGATCAACCAGGTGGATGAGTGTGAGATCAAGCTGATGGCCCTGGAGAATGAGGTGTGGACCATTTTCTTTTCTTCTGAAGTTTTGGCATGTTTTGTTTCATGAACATGGCCTCTTGGTTTTGTGCATTAGGATGGCTTACCTGCATCTGTGCATAGCAATTCAATGATGAAAACTGCATTTGTACATGGATTGTTGTCTGCTTGCTTAGGGGACCTGTCTGCTTTAAGTTTGCTTGTGCAGCAGCAAGATGATGTTCCATTGCCCTTTTGGTTATGTGATTACATATAAAGAACACTGTGATTCATGGCTTTGATTTTGATGTTTGTTGGACATTCCCTTATCATTGCTCATTGTGGCCTGTGAACACAATTTTTCTGAAGCCCAATTATGCACTTTCATCATGGAATGCAATGCTTTTGACCACACTAGTTAGTTGTGTCAATGATACATGCAACAAGCTTAACTATCACATGTCTTCTGCCTCACCATACTTTATTTTGAAGCTACTCCATACCTCATCAACGAAACCTAGTGGCGTTCCCAAAGCCCGACAGTGACCGGTGCTGCCATCTCTGTGCGGTCAGGTGAAGCTCAAGTACAAGATGCCCTTCCCGATCGAAGTGCACAGCCGACGCTCGGACGGGCAGTCCGCTGATGATGTGAAGCAGGAGGGGCCGCCGCCTCCGCCGCCGACGGAGGAGGTCGCGGCGACGGCGCAGGCCTCGCAGGAGTTCAGCTTTATCAGCATCGGTCAGTAGGTCACTGCTTCTGCAGACCCAGGGTGTTTCCGGTTGGAGCGATAGCACAATGGGTCCCAAGATGGTAAAACGTGGCATTTTTGCTTTCTCCCTCCTGAAGTCCCCAGTTACTGCATGGCCCTGTGCAGTCTGTGCACCGTGAAATTACAAATGCTCATCATTCACTTATGGTCTAGTCTTCGTGTAATTGCTTCAAAACTCTTAGGTGATTGTTCCAAAACCTCAACTTTGCACTGTTTGGAACATGATTCCACCAGACCATATATTTGATTCCGGGAGCTTCCTGTGTACCGCACGGGGGGCAGACAGCCGCTCAATATTTCTAAAAATTCAGTATTAGTAATTACCGTAGATATCGCGACAATATTCTGTGGTGATGTAGGGCTACAGTGGGCCTTAGCTTCAGAGTGATTCAGAGTGGCGAGTTTATTGTGCGATCATCGTTAGATCCGTACTGGATTTCTAGTGTAGATTCTCGTCCATCGATCTCCATGGACGTGCGCGACTTGTTGACTGGAAAAGTGTTACATGCTGACAAATATCCAGACAGAAAGGAACCATCTTCAAGTGATGTGACAGATGGGAACCATCTTCAAGTGATATGACAGAGCGGAACCATTTTTAAGCGATATGGCGGAAGCAAACCATGTTAAAGTGACATGACCATCACTGCCCCCTGCTCTGCAGATGGCACGACGCTAGATAACCCAACCATCGTCTTGGAGGCGGACGAAGTGGACGGAAACAACGTGGTCGTCTACCGGGTCAGGCTGCCAGGCTGCAGCTGCAGTTGAGCGCGGCGAGGCCTCTGCTGTGTCCTGCTCCACCGCTACGTGTGGTGTCAGGCTCAGGCTGTAGCTGCACGTGAGCGCTGGATGTCCGTGCTGTGTTCGGTTCCAGCGCTGTGTGCAGAGTCAGGCTCAGGCTATAGCTGCAGTTGAGCGCTCGAGGCCTCTGCTGTGCTCGGCTCCACCAATGTGCGGCGCGGCGTTCGCGGGCGGGTCTTTCCCACGCGCCAGCCAATTGGCTGACAGTCGCGTGGCACTTAGTGAACTCCGGGAGTAGCTCGCATGACGCCCTCGCTTTGCACCCGTAAGGGAATCAACCGATAACTTTCGACCCTTAGAATACATCCCTCCACCCTCTGAACCGCACGTGAGGAGTCGGTCGGCTGAGCCGCGAGCGGTGCCTCCCCGGTTGTCCCTGCCGCGCGCGGGGGTTCTCCGGGCGCCGCGGGCCGGGCGCTTGTTGACGCCGCTCTGTGGCGCGCGCAGGAGCCGTACGGCGGCCAGCTGACCTACGACCCGTCCATGTCGTACCTGGCCCAGCTGGAGGCGTCCGAGCTGCACGAGCAAGACGTCGTCGGCGATCAGGTCAGCGGCCGCAGGGTTCAGCGGTTGACCACGTAACCTGACCACGTGACTCGACCACATGGCTTGACCACGACTGATCCCTCGCATCCAGACCTGAGCCCTTTGATGACTTTTTGTGTTTCAGTAGTGTTATATGACCCCCACAGGAGTCAATTGCTAATTTCATCCAGGATCTGATAGCTGACCAGACAGCGCAGCAAAGCTCTGACACAGTGACCAGATAAGTCCAGGTGGACCCAGACCCTGTCAGACAACCCAGGGTAAACTCGACTCCTTAATCAGGTAACCCTGGCTAGACTAGGGTCTTGTGAGCAGCTAATCCCAGATTTATTCTGACGCCATGGCTGAGTTACTCAGTTAGCCTGTGACGAATTATGACCTTTGACGACCTTATTTGAACTTGATTTTTAACAGATTTTTGAATTTGAACAGAATTCCCTCACACACACAGCAACTGGCACAGTGACCTGCTGACCCCATTTGACTGCTATGACCATGACCTCAAACTGCCTCTAACGATGTGACGTAATAATCTCAACGCACGTCAACAGGCGCGATGTTCTCTACTGACCTCGGCTGACCCGTACGACCTCGTGACCCCAGGTGGAGATGTCTTTGCCACACTTATGTGGTGGCCTCTTCTGGCCTCAATTGACACATGGCATGTGTCATTGTGACCCCGGATGGAGCATTCCAAACCACACTAATGTGACCTTCTCAGCTTTACTTTGGGACCTTGTGACCCCAGGTGGATCGGTGTGCACCACACTGGCGCGTTGACCCCTGCTGACCTCAGCTGGCCGTTATGACCCCGTGACGTCGTGACCCCAGGTGGGCCAGTCCTTAATACACCGGCTCGATGACCTCGGATGACCTCCTCTGACCTTGGATGACCTTATGACCCCGTGACCTCGTGACCTCAGGTGGGCCAGTCCGCAACACCGGTGCGATGACCTCGGATAACCTTGGATGACCCGTGTGACCCCGTCACCGCAGGTGGGTCAGACCACGCCACACCGGCGCGTTGACCTCTGCTGACCTCGGCTGACCCGTGTGGCCCCGTCGCTGCAGGTGGGTCAGACCACGCCACACCGGCGGCGCCGCGGCCCGAAGCGGAGCCGCCTCAGCGGCGGGGGACGACGCCCTGACATGCGATGTCTGCGACGAGACGTTCAGCACGCCGACCAACCTTAGGGGTGCGTGTCCGGCCCAGCTGGGAAGCCGTGGTGGTAGCTGCCATGCAAAAGATAGTCTCTACCCTATCTACCGTTTTCCTTTTGGTACTTTCCTGCGGTCTTTCAAAGGTTTTCGGTAGTTTTTTGTTTTGGATGTCTAACTGCTGATTAGATGCCATCTTTGTTAGCGTGCTGCAACCTAGTGATGAATTTATTATTGCATTTGTGACTACTGGTCAACGACGTCGCCCTGACCTGAGGTCACCCACACTGACCTGAACTGAGGTCACTCGCCCTCACCGCCACCTGTTCTGACCTGATCTTAGATGACCCATTTAGCATAAATTGATAGTTATGGGCACTGCGTGACCTTCAGCAGTTGATGCGCCCTTAAACCCCAAATCATCATCATCATCATCGTCATCTGACCTGAGTTCACCAACACTGAACTGACCTGAGATCACCTGACCTGAGGTCACCCACTTTGGCCTGACCTGAGGTCACTAACACTGACCTGACTTGAGGTCGCCCGGGCCTACCTGACTTGACCTAACCAGTCTGTCCGCAGCGCACAAGGTCTCTCACACCAGCGACAAGAGCTTCCGCTGCCGCTTCTGCCGGCGCGACTTCTCCACCAACATTGCACTCCACTACCACTGGAATGAGGTGAGCACAGCCCGCCGGCCAGCACAGCCAGGCTAGGAATGTTGATGATGTCGGATGCTGTGTGTGGGGTGCACCAACCAGGAACCTGTCGATCGACCGTCAAATTGGGCTTGGAACTTACAAGACGTAACGTGATTGAACCCGAAGTCCCATAGAAATTAATTTTCACCAACATCGTGCGATGACGATCGAAGGAGCGTCAGGGAAGTGACAGGACCGCTCTCCAGGGGCCGATGCTCGTGCTCCACATCTGTGTGCTGTCCGTATTTGCAGTGTGCCAGTGAGCAGATCTGCATCACTCACGAGAGAGAAGTAAAGCATTGGGGCGTTCGGAAGGGCGGCACCTAACGCCTGTGTGTGCGGTGTATTCATAAACCACCTCTAATGCATAGCCATATAGTCATGGTTACAAATCATAATAATCTGATCTGGTCTGTCTCTTACACCGGACCTGTCTCTGATGCCTGGTCTGTCTCTGACTCGTGGCCTGATTCTGACACCTGATCTGTCTGACGCCTGACCTGATTCTGACGCCTGACCTGTCTCTGAGACCTGATCTGTCCATCTGCTGGCGCAGGAGCACCCGCTGAAGCTGCAGCCGTGTCCGTATTGCGACAAACGCTTCATTAACAAGTCCAACCTCAATCAACACATCAACACCCATCAGGAGCCTCGTTTCACGTGCGATGTAAGTCTTGCTTTTGCATCGGTGTCAGCGCAAAAAGACCGAAGGAATGAACCGGCCTCATTATCCCAACGAGATTTCTAACAAGATTTCTTGAATCTTTCGACACAAAAAGAAAAGAAGAAAAAAAGAATATACTTATCCACAAGCTGTTATAAAGATGCTCGCATCTACAGATGTTTGTGTTGTAAAAGCTGTGTATATGGAAAACAAACTTGTTGCAGTTTTGTGCATTTAAATGCTTTATGATGCTGAAGATGGTACAGGTGTGCAATCATTGTTGACTGTGTAACATTGAATGCATATAGTTCCGCAAAAGTGCAAAATATTTGCACAGTTTGCAAGTTGCAGATCACTGGATGACCAGTAATTTCTTAGCTGCAGATGGTCGGGGAGTGGTTTTCGAACGAGGCTCTCAAACTGCGGCGGTAGACAAAATTTCAAGCTGAGCACGCCAGCGGTAGCAAATTTTGTTGCCCTTGAATCAGTGGCGGACTTTTCCTGCAGGAGTGCTTTACCGTGTTACGTGAATGCCCGTCTAGCGCCTTATACCACCCGTGACCCAGCGGAGTCATTTTACGCTTCGCTGACGCCAGCGTGAGTGACCTTTGCAGCTGACGCGCCCTTAAAACCCAATAACCGACGTCCAGCTGACGTCATCGCCATTTGGCAGCAATGCGGCCGGCAGTTCCACACGCGCGGCGACCTGCGGAAGCACATCGTCTTCCGGCATAGCGACGCCAAGAACTTCCAGTGTCCGGACTGTGACCTCAGCTTCAAGGTCAACTGGCTGCTGACGCGACATCGAGTGCGAGTGCACTCGACGTGAGCGGCCGAAGATGGCGCAGCCGTGCCCGTGGGCACCATACTCATTCCTGCCGCGCGTGTGCCGTGTCTGCGTCGGTGGATGCCTGCAAATGTGTGAGTTTGTTTTTAGCGTGTCAACGGATATGTGATTTGGTTTGTCAGCAGGGATGTCTTGTCACTGGCTCGTGACGGGATCGACGAGGCACGTCTTGTGGTGTTTGTCGATGCTCGCGCTCCGTCGGCCAGTGCGTCATGTGTATGACGTCATTACGGCATTTTGATGACGTCATTATATCAGTTGTATGACGTCATTACGGCACGTGAATGACATGTCATTCGGATGACGTCAGTATGACATTTGAATGACGTCATTACGACATTTGGATGAAGTCATTACGCCTTTTGGATGAAGTCATTACGGCATTTGGATGACGTCATTGCGCCATTTGAATGCCATTACTGCATTTGGATGTGCACTCAGGGCGTTTTGAGTGTGCTTGGTGCGAACACTCGCTCACGACCTCTCCGCACCTGTTGGCGTGCCCCTGTTTCACTGCCGTGGTTTGGCGGCGATCGAGAGTTAGGTCTGGCGCCGTGTCCGAACTCGGCATGACTGGCGTGCTGTCCGCGCGACCGATGGCGCATGCGCGGGCCAATGCTGGTTCGTGCCGTGAGAGAAGCAGGAAATTCTGCACGCGACCGGGTTAGCGCGGTGTACGTGTACAATCGGGGGGGCCGCGGGTCTGTGTCATCTGCCGTGGTCTTCGCAGCAGCGCTCCGCCACTGTGAAGGCGTTGGTGACAACCGCGCAATTTTTGTCTCCGGAAGCCTCGCTTCGGTTCGTGACGCGATCCTCGCGATCCCGAGTGCGTCGGTGTTCGAGGTTCGAGATGATCGAGCCCAACTGTCACCTCGCCTGGTCTCGTGGCCCGGTGCGCATCTTGTTAATGCCATTTGTATCGAACACGCTCGCCCATTAGGGTCCGTTTGTGACCATCCAAGTCCATCAGAGCCCGTTTGTGAATACAGTTTTGAACTACGCGTCTTGGATCGTAGCTTCTGGCAAAGCCGAGTGAGAACGGAAGACCACGCCGGAGCCCGGTACGGACGCTAGATATGTGACCACGCGGTCACCGCGGCAAACGGCTAAAATATTAAGCCGCAAACTCGGCAGCAAACGTGCTCCGCCAGCCGCTGGCGTGCCTTCCTCGCGTGCAAGGACCAGGAGCATATGCCGGATTTCCGCGCCCGATCTCGCGTCTTTGAAGCTGACGAAGACGTACACGATTTCCGACAGGGGTGGCTTTGAATGCCGCGATCAAAGCGACGCGGACGCCTGCCGGGACGGTCGTGCGCTTGTATCATCTGGAGTGCATGGTGGGGCGGCACTGGGCCGCATGGGGCTCCGCCGCGGACTGAAAATCGGATTTGGTACATCTAGGGTGGCAATGACGAGTTTCGAACCGGTTTTAGCGAACTACTGGCTGGTTTTTATGGGTAGTTTCGGTTAGGGGTGTAGATTCGTATTCGCTTGACAGTCCCCCTCCCCCTTTAACTTTGAGAGGATAGAGGGCCAAATCCGGAAAAACGCTCTCTGGCGTAATCTGGGGTGAGTTTCTTCATTTCCCTGTACAACCACCCTCTCCGCAACTCATTTTGCAAAATCCCGCCCCTGGCCTCTAGGTTGATGCGACGATGGTTCAAACACCGCAGGATTGAACTCGTATCAGAGTGCTGAGCCAAGCTTAACTTCCTCACGGAGCTCAAACGCGTCCTGTCGTTTCGCGACTCGAGACCACCAAACCTGTTCATACAGTTTGGTAATCCACTGTGCTGCATAGGGACCTCCTCCCCAACATGACGGCAACCCTGAGCTGTCATTCAACTGTCAAATGTCGCCCACCCCGGTCCGTGCATTACTAAGGCCCCATCTCACTTCGGACAGGAGCCTTCCGCACCGCCTTCACACCCAATCACACAGCTGATCCTACCAATACCTGAGCCTCATCTCCATCATTACGACGTAACGCTCCTGGGCATGGTTAAACGTGCTGACCTCTCCATCACTACCGATGGGCCACTAGATCCAAGATTGCTGCAGACCAGCCAGGTGATTTGGATGGACGCACTAAAATGTCGGGGTGGGCAAAAATACATGCTCACCCAGCAGCATATCCTAGGGCCGGGTTTGGGTTAGACCTCATCAGGTCATTGAAATTCTCTCACTTACTCAAAATGATCTCAGGCCGCAAAATGCAGTTTCGAAAAATGGGCTTGGGCCGGACAATGAAAATGACGAACGTTCCCCAGAACACGCCGGCAAAGGGGGTTTTGCCCGGATTTGGCCCACTTCTCAAATGGAACAGGTTGGGAGGGTGGACGGCTGGAGTTCAAGTTGGAAGGGGGACCCCCCCCCCCCCAGGTAAACAGGAAACTATACATTTGACCCTGCCCTAGGCCCGAAGGCCCAGCGTTTTTTGGTAGTGAAAGACGCCCGAAGCGTTTCTAAAAATAAGGAAACGACGCTCGAGACAGACAAATGGGATCCCGAGGCTAAAAAGGTTTTCCGGAGCCAAAAGCAGAGCCTCAAAGACGGCAAAGTGGGACCCCTGGCTGGAGGGTTCCCCTTTCCTTTGATTTGGCACTCTGCTGGGTGTAACCCTGGATACGCCACTGATTCATTCCGTCTGACGACGGGTGGGAAGCTGCTCACTATCTCCACTTGGTGCCACGACCGTTTTCCTAGGCTGGTGCCAATGTTCAAGAAAAAGCCATCAATTATGCTGCGTAAGAAAGACGCGAGGAGACATTTCACGTGTGAGAAATACATGTTTTCATTGATTATGAAACGATAGACCAATGATCTTGAAGTAACGTATATTTCAAGTCAATATCTAAGTGCTTGAAAGTATACCTTCGTGTAGCAAGGAAAATCTGGCAGCAGCGTCAGAACTGCCGCATCAGACAATCGTGGAGCGTTACTGGAGGCGGTTTTTGTGAGCTGGGCGACGCTACCTGACTTGGAGAGTGCCGCCCACTTCTGTGTTTACGAATTGAGGTTTGCCTGGCGTCATATTTGAAGGACAGAATACGTGCTGTGTTGGCTCCTGTGTGTAGTGCTAGTTCGGTTACAGCGTCTTGTTATGCTGTCGTATTTTCCGAACATCCGATTTGACTGAGATCAGTGCGGTAGCTGCCTGAAAATAGCGTGACATTGCCTTACCACCCCCGGCCGCCTTCCATTTGTTATGGTTTCACTTGCTCGAATCTCATCACAGTAGCATGCAGATGGTCTTGCCATTAGAGTTAAGCTTATGTCTTTTTGGAACGGGAAGCATTCCAGGAAAAGGCTAGTCCACTCAGCTTCAAAATGGGACCATGGTAAGTATAGTCAATTTGGATACCTGTGTTTTACCTTCTTGTCATGCATTGTTGGTGCTAGTTTTAATCAGATGGGACCAGTGTTCACCATGAATGGGGATTGTTGTGTGAGACCCGATCATGCCACCGATCATGAAATTCCAGGTCAGCCGCGTTGTGGTGTGTGCCATAATGCTCAATGCTTGCTCTAGCCTGTCCTTGTCCTCTGACATATCTTGAACTTGAGCTGTTGGCATGGTGGTTGCTGCTGGCCTCCAGACTGTTCTAGTCAGGAGAAAATAGTGAACACCTAAAGTGACTTAGACATGCCCACTGCAGATGGGTGAGCTGGACCTGGTTGATCACTAGTGGTTGAAACAGAAGGCATCAGATAGGTGCTTTAACCCTACAATAAGTTGTTCGTTAAGGAGAGCCTACAGAAGATGGGTTGACAGGGATTTTTTACATTTGTATTGATAATGCAGCATTTACATCTAGCACTGGATTTGAGAAAGTGCAGGAGCTTATTTTCTAAGCTTTCTAGACTTCCAGGGACTGGCAAGCCCTGTTTTTCAGATCTGTGAGGTGAGGGCTCTTACAAGCATATCTAATGAGCTCTTGATACCAATGATTAATTGATAGATTAGCAGGGTGATATGGACTTTGTTGTTCCCAAAGAATATGGGTATGCAATTAGACAGCCAGTATACAAACCATGGGAAAGCTTGAGCATTATACTGATAGACAGAGCAGCAGGAGATCTTTGGCTACATAGGCCTTGTATACCACCCTGCTTGCCCCCCTCCCCCCTGTGTAGTGGTCAAGCCACCTGTCTGGAAAGTAAGAGGCATTGGGTTTGATTCCCAGCAGTGGCCACCTTTCCCACCAGGGTGGGGGGCAGGTGTCACAGTACAGTCCCAGCAGCTGAGTGCATTGTAATGCCCTAGCAATGAGAAGGTCTTCCATGCTAGAGCACAAGCTATATGAATTGGGGAATGCCAAGTGTAGAGCTCCTGCGTGTTCAAGTTAAAAAGATGTATGATGTATGGTTAATATGCTTTCCCATGGAGCTGTGTGGCTTCCAAGGGCTCTGGCCATTTCTGAATCTCTTTTGAATTGCTGCAATATGCGAGTCTCGAAACATTCCTTCCATCCTGTTAGCATTTTCATGAAAGGTCTCGATCGCAGGTGCTCCAGAAATGTAACTCCCCATGTAGCACCTTGCATCGAAATAATACGGATAACTCGGCCAATCGACGTACATAATTGATATTTTGCCACTCAATTTATGTTGGAGTTTACTCCAAACGTTGTATTTAAACGCACGTTGAATACGAGATGCGGTCGGAGCCACAAGAATCCTTCACAGGTCGGTAGGATCTACGCCCTTTGCACACCCCATACCCCTTTTGAACACCGGGCCCTGCGCGTACCGCCATGGGATCAGCGCTGGACTTGAACGAGAACTGATGGGCCATGACGAGACTCCCGTACCTCCCCCTCCGCCCCCTCCGCCCACTGATGGGATGACGTCTATCGGGTCTGCCGAACTCATCCCGGCCGGGCCGTAGATCTGCCCCAGATCTGCCGGTGGATTTGCCGGTGCGTCTGCCGATGGATTTACTGAATATCTGCCGTAGATATGCCGATGGATCTGGTACAGATCTACCGGTGAATCTGCCGGTGGATCTGTCGCAGATCTGCCGGTGGATCCGTCGTGAATCTGCCGGCGGATATGTCAGTGGATCTGCCGGTGGATCTGTTGCAGATCTGCCGGTGGATCCGTCGTGGATCTGCCGGTGGATCTGCCGGTGGTGGGCCAAACCAGGCGGCCGCCGGTCCCGAGAGGCATTGATCCACTAGACCCGACCGCCCGCGCCGAGCCCAGGCCGAGTCTCATAAAACAAAAGTACAAATCCATGCACGCTTCGTCTCGGTTTTGTGGACTCGTTTACCTCAAACGATGTGGTCCGAGCGAGGTGAATGGAAAGGAAATTGTATATCAACTGACTAACAATCGAGAGGTCAATCCAAACCTGCTGGTTTCCGGCTGGTGTGCCCACACGACGCAATTTGAACTTGCATGGGTTCGTAGGTTCGCTACGTGAAACGGGCCCAGCTCGTAAAACGCGTGCTCATTGGCCGAGTCGCGTCTGAGGACCCGCTGTTTCGTTCTTGACGTGCGTGTGACCGTGGATGCGGGGGTCCGCGGGAAGGAAAGGGGCGTGGTCATGGAAGCGGACTAGGAGGGGAGACTGCAGCTGCCCCCTCCCATTCCGGCAAGTTCAGCGTTACCTCCGTGGCACCGCGCGAAAGAGCACGAAGTAACAAAAAAAGTAACAAAAAAGTAACACAAAGTAAAAAGTAAAGTAACACGGCGCAGTTATTTGCCCTCCCCCCCCCCCCCCCCCACCCCTAACTTGTCGGAGAGTTTGCCGTCACTGGCCATGGCTAAGTGCGTGGGAAGCTGTTCGGCTCGACCCGTCATCAGAAACGTGGGCTCGCGCCGAACAGTTGGCAGTGCTTCGGGCCCGAAACCGAGAGAGCTGGGTTCGAATCCCGCCACGCGATGATCTTTCACATGTTTTAGACGTCACTTCCAAAGCACTAGCACGCATCGATGATGCATGAAAGGGTTATTTTCCCAACGAGATTGGCTCTGATTAAGCTTTCAC